AAACCCCCCCCCCCCCCCCCCCCCCCCATGCTGCATTGTAATAATTAAGCCAATGAAACATCGATTCTCAAATATTTATTATCATATATATATATATATATATATTGTACTTTACTCGCACTACTGGGACTAGAACATTTGAAATAAACAAATATATGTATGTCATTCCAACTGATCGACTTGTTGAAGTTACGATCATAACTCTCTATCCATCTGGAAAAACAGTTCCAAAGTTAGGAGGAGATCAATACATCATCGAAAAATTACATTGTATATATAAGATTCTTAACTTCTTCATATGTTTATTTCATATGCATCGATCCGACCATATATATGAGCCTTCATGATCGCCCATTGACCTTGTCTAGATAAGTGAAAACTTATACCATTAGTTAATGAAAACATATACTTTCTCTGTTTAAAAAAAATGACCTAGTTTGACTTGGAGCGGAGTTTAAGAAAAGAAAGAAAAATTTTTAATCTTGTGAGTCTAAATCAAAGTTATATCAAATATACCAAAATGGACTTTAATCTTGCGATCTTAAATATCCCATGTGGAAAGTTATAGTTAAAGTGTTGCTAAAAAAAAGAAAGTCATTATTTTTTAAACAAATTAAAAAGGAAACTAGGTCATTCTTTTTTAAAGAGAGGAAGTAAATATTTGAACAAATCTTTGAATGACTCCAAAGTTTATCTCATCTGATCATGTCTGAGCTGCTATGAATATTGGAGAAATATATATATATTATCTCCTCGTAGGTAGACAATTGCAAGGTAGTCACATGAAAATAAGTGTATAATTGATACTAAATGGAAGTAGAATATATATATATAAATATAGATTATCAGATTCTTTTGACCCACACATGTAGGCCAGTAGCAACACGTGATTATATATAGGACATGGCAGTACTATTGGTAAGTAGCGCAAGACTCAACTTTTTGAAATATAATGCAACTTGCAATATTTTGCTTCCATGTCACTTACAAATAATCCATGGGGTATCGTGTCGAAATCCTAGAATCCCAGGTGTTCTTGGAGGCATTAATATATTCCCTCTGTCTCAATTTTTGTGATTTACTTTCCTTTTTAATCAGTCTAAAAAAAATACACATTTCTATATTAAGTAATAATTTATTTATAAAATATCTATTTTATCCTTAATGAAATGATTTACGGCCACACAAATTTCCATCATTCATTTTGGATTACAAATTTTAAAAATCTTCATTTCTTTCTTAAACTCCGTGCCGAGTCAAACTACCTCACATAAAATGGGACAAAGGGAATAATTTTTTTTGTTGTTTATATCATTACCCGTGTTTAATACCTGCATTGAATTTTAAATCTGAATTTGTATCGAAAAATCTCACATTAGAGATAAAACACTAATCAGAAGCGGAGCTAAATCATTAGCTAGCTAGGGGCTTAGACGAACACAATGGCCATCACTACACCTTGCATTTATTAAAAAATCATTAA